ATGAACAAACTCCTCATTATATATATGGCAAGAAATTAAAGATGCAATATTAAAACGATTACAAGATTATAGTAGAACAAAACAACGTTTATCACAACTATTAGATGAAGAATAACAAAGAGAATTAGAACAAGAATTAGAAGAAGAACGTCCACTACCTGTCACTCCATGTGAACCTATACTCCATGAGGAAATTAAACGATTGTGTGATATAGATAGTGCTATGATGAATCTAACACAATATCGTCATGTATTTCGTTATTTATCGTATGCTTTCATTGATACAACATTTCTTAATGATTGTCAAGCTAATAATTGGCAAGAAAATTTTTGGATTTCAACTGAATTTCAACGTGTAATTGCGACTAAAGGAGAATCATTAAATCCATTTTTACGTCCTCCACGATGGATTATTATTTACCGCAACCAGCAATTAATTTTTCTTAGCGCTTTAGAAGCCAATTGGTTAATAGGTCGTTGAGACTCTCTTTATCACAAAAGAGAATCGAAAAATCCATCGATTACGACATTACGCCTATTATTATCCCGTATTAAACGAATTCAATCAATTTTTGACAATACACCATCTCTCACGATTCCTCCATTGATTGGACATCCGAATGATACTATTTGTTTCTTTACATCACCTGAATGGTTGGTTCAATTATTTATTTTTAATGGCACACTTTATTTTGAAACAGTTGATGAGCAGACGGCTTATTGTCAATGTTTAAGGCTTATGTCCAAAACCTCGAACAATGGAAGAAGAAGAAGAAGCATTTAAAAATGATTGGATTGCTGTTGATGGCTTTGTTAGTAATTTTGAACATCGTCATTGTTTGAAAATGCATCAAGTTCGATTCCATTGCAATTTACTAACATTTGTCAAGAATATAATTGAAAATCGGTATAATTCACATGCACCTATGACGTCACATGTTGGCAGTATTATTCTGAATACCTTCAAACTCATGTAATCCTGCGAAGAATGAACCTCCTATAACCGCATATTTAATTCGAAGACTAATACTTTTTTTTTCATAATTTGAACTAAATCTTACTAACAAGAAAAAAGAAAAGAATTCAATAAAAATTATAAATTATAAAATAACACCAATTAACTAATAATAGATATTTTTCGCATTGCACCGACTATAAAACATGAAGGGTGTGGATGTGTGTCAATACAAGATTCACACCCATATCCTTATTTACTCCTGCAAAACTGATATCGGGAAGTAGCTCTTATATTATAATAACAAGTTATTGATGTACAGTTTTTGATCGTATATCAACAATGTTTTGCAACGCCAGTGGTGGAGTTGCAGGCTGTTCGTCGCAGAGTTTAGGTGTGGGTGTGGATAAGAATAAAATACACACCCAAAAGTTTCTTTTTTATTAACAATGGAGTTTATTTCAAAAAAATGTTTCTTATGCAATACATGTTCACTATCAAATGTTTATCTCTAGAGAAAAGCTTCGAGTTGATACAATAATTTTATTTTAAAATGCTAAATTA